TTGCCAGTTTCAGTTTACCAAATCTGGTCCGAATTTAATAACACTGCTAGCAGGCTTCCACTCTATATGTATGGTTCGACTCATTTCAGCACCAAATCATTGCTCGACCAAGCAGGCTTCCACTTGAAGCAGTACTCACGACGAAAAACCGCAATCAAATGAGCCCAACAGAAAGATCTTTGAAAGAACATACATATATAGGATTAATGGAACGGTTGTACTACATGTACATCGCAACTTCCATATTTGTTTACCAACATGTGACGAGATTTAATTGGTTCAAAATCTCATCAACCAAATATAAAAAATTCATTACTATTTTTTTGACAAATCATCGATATGTAAAAGATTATGTAAATGATGATGTACAATAAACATTTTCTGTGTAAACACACAGCTTCCAACATTCCCAACATATATAGAGAAGTATGTACGTAAACCAAGAAGGCAAAATGATAAAGGTCTAAAACTTAATAGTTCCATTCAATATACAAGGCAACGATGGTATTACAACAGAACATTAACACGTTATTCTTAAGTAAACTACTGTAAAGGAATTCAATTACAAAGACAAGAAATAAAGAAAAAAAAATAAAATAAAAAGAAAAAAAAAAGACTTTTGCACAGATGTTCTGGCATATTTTGGGCTCAGGATGCGAGTTATACAAGTAGTACCTACATTCTTTTCTAATATAAAAACCATACGCTTCTTTCTTCTATTCACATGCCAGTTTTGTGTCGAAGCTACTTAAACAGATAGCGAATGCCTGAAAAGCAGATAAAGGATATCGGTAATCCATGGTAAACATATCTTTGCTAACCTTACCAAACTGCAAGATAATCTTATCTTGATCTGACTGGGCCGGTTGGGATGGTGTTGGTGCACCAGCAGCAGGCTGTGTTGCATCAACAAGCTGAAAATTCTTGACAGAGGCAACAGTTACTCTCCCCCGAAAATTAAGACACCAGCACTGCAGCTGTTCATGCCACCTAGGTTGCTTGTTTTTAAGAACTAATGGTCTCTCCTTCCCGTCATCCTCTTCCCCATGTGGACCTATAATGTCCGAGAACCGAGCACTTGTAAACTCAGATGAGGTGTCAATTGACTTGGAGAAAGAAATACTACGGAATGAATCTTCAAGAGAGCAAGGAGCAAGCTCAGGCTGGCCTGGGACAGTACCACCAGGCTCAAGGGCCGAGGTAGGTATGGAATGCATGATGCAATGCATCCTACGTGGCCCCCTGGTACCGAGCACATTGAGCTCGTACGTGACCTGAGCAATGTTGTGGCTTCTACTCAGGACTTTTGGAGACACTTTTTTTGAGTAGAACCTGCGACTAGTACGACCCAGTGAAGAAATATTAGAAATGTTGTATGGCAGCTGTGTGTCAAAAATTATGAACTTAGTGCCGAGGAAATTTGACCTG